CAAGGTAGGTCCCTGCAGGACCAACCCGGCAGCACCCCAGCTGCTCTACCCCAGGGTCCACAACAAAAGCCTGGTCTGCTCGGGGTGGGGGGGTGCATTAGCTGCGCCCCCTTTCCCCTCCCCTCCCCGCAGACCAGGGACACAGGGAGCAAAGCCGCAGCCGCGGTGGGGTGCCGCACCTCTGAGGCTTTGCTCTGGCAAAGCCTCAGAGGCGCGGGACCCTGCCGCCACTGCGGCTTTGCTCCCGGTGTCCCTGTTCTGCTGGAGACGGTCCCCAGCAGACCAGGGGCACCGGGAGCAGCTTTTCTTGCCCCGGAGTTCGAGGTGGCTGACCGCTGCCTTCGAGCTCCGGGGCGAGAAAGCCCTGTTCGTAAGTGCGGATCCGACATAAGTCTGATCCGCGTAAGTCGGGGACTGCCTGTCCTGGCCTAGGATGTAGGAAAGCCAGATTCAAGTTCTTGCTCTATCTGATACAGACCAGGGATTTTTAATCCTAAATCACTCAAAATCCAACAGAATGGGGTCAACAACCTGGCTCTCCCACATGCCAAGCCAGTAACCTAACTTAACCATCCATGTAGAGCTGTGGCACGTGGGTGTGTGTGCCCTTAACCTACAGTAACCTTCTGACAAAAGTTTGTCAGAAACAGATACAGGTTGCACCTCCCTTAACCAGGACTCTCTGGCCCAGCAACCGGACCACGGATGTTCCTGGACCCTGGAACCTAGGTGCAGGGAGGCCTGGCTGCAGGATAGAAGTGGTGGTTGTCAGGGTGGAGGGTTCAGCTGGGAGTCCCATGTTGGAGGAGGGGGGCACAGAGGGGCAGGTAGCACAGCAGGGAGTTCTGGCCCCTGCAGCCGAGCAGTAGCAGGGGGCAGGCAGTGGCTGTAGAGCTTCAGTCATGGAGCTTGGGGGCTGACAGCAGCATCGAGGGAGATATGGTCCCAGCCCCCAGTGGCAGCTAGGGAGCTCGGGAGATGGAGCTCGGGGGCCAACAGAGGCAGTTAGGGAGTTCCGGCCCAGTCACTGATCTCCAGCCCAAGCAGCAGCTAGGGAAGCGCCATCCCCAGCCGTGGAGTGGGGATGGAGCTTTAGCTGGGGCAACAGAGCACCATGGGCGATATTGGAAGGGACCTCCCCTGGTCCGTCAAATCCCCTTGTTCAGGACCAGTGAGGTCCCACAGGTGCTGGATGAAGGAGGTCCAACCTGTATATATCTACAAAACATTTGTTGAGATGAAACAGTGTATTTCACTGCAGTTTAAGTGAATATGTTCCATTCTTCTCATTTATGTGAATTAGCTGCTCCAAAGTGTGTATGTTAAATCTAATCTGAGTTTCTATATTTTATATATGTAATGACTTAAGTTGATTACCCAGCTAGGGAATGTGGTTTAGATTGCAGCAGACAGACTGACTTGGTTATTCCTCCCTTTGAGCTTCCTCCTCCTTCCCTCACCCCACAACTGCCTGCAACTCTTCATCTTATTTACAGAGCTGACTATCTTTTTCCCAGCTGTTCCCTATGGAAGGCTAATTTTTATTTTGGTCTCCCAATTCAGAATAAGGGAGTATCTTTCTCTCTCTCTAGCATCCCCCACATTCATGAACTCCAGCAGTTCCCCTCTTCCACAATATAAGGTATGTTCATAAGCTTAGCTATAGAGGTCTCACCTCTCCTTCTGAGCAGGAATATAATTAATACGGTGAACCATAGTGAGTAGCAGCTGGCCGCCTGTCCCCTGATCTGTAGAAGAGAATATGTAAATACCAGATTTGTGAATACGATGTGGATTCCAGAGTTAAACTATTCCGAGATTTGCATCCCAAATATCAACACTCACTGTCAAAATGCTTTCCACTGTCTCTTTTAGATCATAGCTAAAAGGCAGGCAGATCATGCAATCAACTTCGTGAATAGCAACAGATGCCTGGGGAGATTTCTTCTGGAACTCTGCAAGACACAGGCAGTGGTGTCTGAGAGTAGAAAGATGTTGCCTCTGCTTAGCATTCCACTAATTACTGTAACAATTTTAATCATTGTGGGGCTTGTGGGAAATGGATTTATTACAGTCATTAATTGCCTTGACTGGACCAAAAGTGGAAAAATCTCTCCTTCTGATATGATCCTGATCCCTCTGAGCACGTCAAGATTTGTGTTACAGGGGACATTCACAGTGTTTATCCACAGTCTCTATTTTCCAGATATTCCCAAACTGTTTCTTCTGTATACAGCATCTATTATCTTATGGATGTTTGTGAACCAGGCCAGACTCTGGTTCGTCACCTGGCTCGGTGTCTTGTACTGTGTGAAGATCATCACTTTCACCCAACCTCTCTTACTGCGAATGAAGCAGAGAATCTCTGGGATAGTTCCACAGCTGCTCCTGGGATCAGTGCTGGTTTCTTCTATCCCCTCTGTCCCATTGTTGTGGACTCTGTGCGTAATTCAACCTGCCACTCAACCCGGCTAGAGAACAACTCGGTGACAGATACTAATTTGAGTACCCCAGATCTCTCTCTTTTCCTGTACACTATGGGGGTTTTCTTTCCTCTTACAGTATCTGTGATGTCTTTAGTACTGTTACTTACTTCTCTGGAAGCAAAAAAATGGAATAAAATGCAGACAGTTTCAGGAATTTGAAGACAGATGCTCATATAAATGCCATGAAAGCTTTGATCTCTTTCCTTATCCTCTATGTTTCCAGTTTTCCTGCTCACATTCTATTATTACTCTTGAATAATGTAGATAACATCTGGTCTGTTGCAATCTGTACAATAATGATTCCTGCATATCCATCAGTCCATTCCATTATCTTGATTTTAATTAATTCCAAACTAAAAGAGGCATTAATAAGAATTCTCCATTGTATGAAGTGCCATCTGAGCAAACAGACTTCTTAAACCAGCCCGCCTGAAATATAACTGAAATCAAGCCTGCACTGCCCTTTTATCAACATTTATTCTCTTTTTCTCAATTAAAAATGACTACCTTCTCTTGCTTGTTTTTAGCATTACTGGCACTCTTTACAACCTCAGAATATTTGCAGAGATTGAAGTTTTATTTCCATCACTTTTCCCCATAAACACATCACAAGAGGAATCCATTTAGAGACAAATCATCTGTATAATCATGAAGAAGAATATCTGAGTTTCTGGTTTCTAATGACCAGTGGGAATATACGGAAAGGAAGCCAAACGTGAATATTCTGCATATCTTAGTGGACAAACCATGGACAGGATGCAGTGTGGGCACATTCTTCCAGTTTAGAGGTGTATTTGAATTGGACAATAAAATTATATACACACCTGGAGGTGGAGGTGTGGGGGATGGGGGAGGAGAGAGGGAGAGGAGGAGAGCACAGTGAAAACTTTCACAGGGCTCAGCGAACCAGGCATTCAATGTCCTGGCATTGAACATCTTCTCATTGCTGCAAGACTTGGGGCCAAAGAAAGATTAGACTTGGAGGAAACATACTTGTATTAGTACATAATTGGCTTAGTATGTACATGGAATGTTTTTCCTAAATTGATGATTCAGCTAAAAATAATAGAAAGGAGAAAACTAGGTATGTGAAAATGTGCAAGTGAATAGTGTTTGTACATTATAACCTGAACAGAGTTTGCATGCATTAAGCCTCTGATATGCTTTCAACAATTTTGAATAGCTGATTTAAATTCCACCTCTTGTACAGGATGTACCTTATAATGGCTTGCTTTTTGAAAGTTTATTGCCACAATGATGAATGTGATCTAGATAGATATAGGCACAACCACTGACTTTCACGGTTGCTTTAGAAAATTCCTCTGTGCATTGAATTGTCAATGTTCTAATCCAGTTTCTGCACTGTCATATGATTTGATAACTGATTGCTTGTTGAGCAATCATGAATTATTCTGAGTACTGCAGCCTTCTATATTGTATATTCATTGCAGTTTCACGTACTGTATAGCCACTAGAGCTAGTGGAATATTCTTGATCAAATACATAATTCAACAAATGTTGTCATGATTGATCCAATAATGTGCTGAATTGTTCAATTTTTAAGGTATTTCCTCAGCTCCAGTTCTTACACTATATGTTCAGCATGAAGGAATGTGGTCTCAGTCCTGAAACTGACTAGCAGCATGGTTTAGGATATATCACTTGCTCTTTTTGCGTCTGTTTCTGTCTAAAAAAACCGGAATTAATTGTATTTACCCATATTTGTAAAATGCTTTCAGATCACCAGAAAAAAATCCTATATAAATATATTGGTTTACTTTGATTATGTTGTTGTTTTTCATTTGTCTTGTCAAAAGAGATTTTATAGGTAAATAAACATTTATGCAATATAATGAACATGTAAATGACCGCATAATTGATTTTTTTGGTGTGTGTGGAGGTAAGAGTGGGAGATTCATTGCATAATTTTCTGCAAACTCTAGTTTCATTTTGCAAATAATGAAGTTTGTAACAGAGTTTCAAAGTGACTTCCAAAAAGTGAACAGATATGGTGATATCTGCCTCCAAATACACAATCAATACTCTGAGGGGAGTCAAGTCCTCTCTCTCATCTTGTTAGTCTTATCTTTGAGATCTACTACTAATAAATAATAAGCATTTTACTGCTGACCAATGCAGCAGAAAAATTGTGTATGATTTTCAATCACTACTGGATGTCATAGCATAGTACACGGCATACTGGGGAAAGTATTTGCTTTCAATGTCACTTAACTTGGTAAATGTGGAAAGAGTAACCTTCATTTCAGTTTAAAGAAATGAGTAGTCCTGTAGCACTTCAGAGACTAACAAATATCTATCTATATATAAAATATACTATTGTGAGTTTTTGTGGGTAAAACCCACTTCCTCAAACATAAGGATTTCTTCACACAATCAGTGGAATTCCTTGCCAGAATATATTGTGAAGTCCAGAACTTCAACAGGGTTCAAGAAAGAATTAAGATAAATTAATGGAGGATACATCGGTAAGTGACTATTACCCGGATGGGCAGAGATGGTGTCCCTAGCCTCTGTTTGTCAGAAGCTGTGAATGGGCAATGGGATGCACCACTTGATGATTTATCTGTTCTGTACACTCCCTCTGGGACATCTGGCATTGGCCACTGTTGGAAAACAGGATACTGGGCTAGATGGTCCTTTAGTCTGATGCAGTGTGGCCTTTCTTATGTTCTTGTTTGTTCCTGTCAAATCCATGCTGGCTATTTCTTGTAACTGTTGTTCAATAGGAATTTAAAAACTAATTGTTTAATAATTTGTTCCAATATATTTTCAGGTTTCAGTGTTAGTCTGTATATAATTCCCTGAGTTCTTTTCTCCCCTTTATAATGCAAGTATTATGTTTTCCTTTCTCCAGTCCTCAGAAGCCCCATGCATCTTCCATGAGTTCTTGAAGATAATTGCAAACAGTTACAAGGCTGCTTAATTAGCTGGTTACATACCATAGGGTGAATGCCATCAGGCTCTGCCAACCTGAATACATCTAACTTACCTAAATAGTCTTCAAGCTACTCTTTTCCTAATTTGGCTTGTACCCCTTCTCACTTGTAGTGTTGAATAGCTAATCACTATTAGTCCTGTCATTGAATACAGGCAGTCCCTGGGTTACGTACAAGATAGGGACTGTAGGTTTGTTCTTAAGTTGAATTTGTATGTAAGTCGGAATTGGTACATATTGTAGGGGAAACTCTAGCCAAACATTTCTCCAGAGCTCAGTTTTATTCTCCCACACCTCACTTCCCTCAGTCCTTTATTCTCAAGATGAGGTGTCTGCTGAGAAAAGCTGCTCTGCGTCTCCCTGATCTGCTGGGGGGAAGCAGCTAGTGCGGGGTTGCCTCACCCCGTTTGTAAGTAGGGATCTGATGTAAGTCGGATCCATGTAACCCGGGGACTGCCTGTACTTAATCAAAATTGTCAAACACCTCTGCTTTCTTGATGTCATCAAGTATTAGCTGTCTGCTGAGGGCTTAAACTTTCCTTCAATTTTTCTCTTGCTTCTAATGCTGTTAAAGAACCTTTTTCTTTTCCTTTTTATATCTCTTGCCAGGTATAACTCATTTGTATGCCTTACTCTTTCTGATTGTGTCTCTGTATTCATGTGCTGTTCTTTTGTAGTCCTCTAACAACTTCTCCGTGTTTCCAATTTTTGAAGGATTTCTTTTTGATTTTCACGTCATTAAAGGTCTCTGGATGGAGCCATGTTGTCCTCTTACTGTTCTTCCTAGCCATCCTTCCCATCATAGAATCATAGAATACTAGGACTGGAAGGGACCTTGAGAGTTCATCGAGTCTAGTCCCCTGCCCTCATGGCAGGACCAAATACTGTCTAGACCATCCCTGATAGACATTTATCTAACCTACTCTTAAATATCTCCAGAGATGGAGATTCCACAACCTCCCTGGGCAATTTATTCCAGTGTTTGACTACCCTGACAATTAGGAACTTTTTCCTAATGTCCAACCTAAACTTCCCTTGCTGCAGTTTAAGCCCATTGCTGCTTGTTCTATCCTCAGAGGCCAAGATGAGCAAATTTTCTCCCTCCTCCTTATGACACCCTTTTAGATACCTGAAAACTGCTATTATGTCCCCCCTCAATCTTCTCTTTTCCAAACTAAACAAACCCAATTCTTTCAGCCTTCCTTCATAGGTCATGTTCTCTAGACCTTTAATCATTCTTGTTGCTCTTCTCTGGACCCTCTCTAATTTCTCCACATCTTTCTTGAAATGTGGTGCCCAGAACTGGACACAATACTCCAACTGAGGCCTAACCAGTGTAGAGTAGAGCGGAAGAATGACTTCTCTTGTCTTGCTCACAACACACCTGTTAATGCATCTCAGAATCATGTTTGCTTTTTTTGAAGCAGCATCACACTGCTGACTCATATTCAGCTTGTGGTCCACTATAACCCCTAGATCTCTTTCTGCTGTACTCCTTCCTAGACAGTTGCTTCCCATTTTGTATGTGTGAAACTGATTGTTCCTTCCTAAATGGAGAACTTTGCATTTGTCTTTATTAAACTTCATCCTGTTTACCTCAGACCATTTCTCCAATTTGTCCAAGTCATTTTGAATTAGTGACCCTATCCTGCAGATTAGTCGCAACGAACCCCACTTGTTATACCTTTCCAGCAGGATTGTGAACCATTAATAACTACTCTCTGAGTACGGTTATCCAGCCAGGTATGCAACCACCTTAAAGTAGCCCCATCTGAGTTGTATTTGCCTAGTTTATTGATAAGAATATCATGCGAGACCGTATCAAATGCCTTACTATAGTCTAGGTATACCACATCCACCGCTTCTCCCTTATCCACAAGACTTGTTATCCTATCAGAGAAAGCTATCAGATTGGTTTGACATGATTTGTCCTTTAAAAATCCATGTTGGCTGTTCCCTATCACCTTGCCACCTTCCAAGTGTTTACAGATGATTTCCTTAATTACTTGCTCCATTATCTTCCCTGGCACAGAAGTTAAACTAACTGGTCTGTAGTTTCCTGGGTTGTCCTTATTTTCCTTTTTATAAATGGGCACTATATTTGCCCTTTTCCAGTATTCTGGAATCTCTCCTGCCTCGCATGATTTTCCAAAGACGATAGCTAGAGGCTCAGATACCTCCTCTATCAGCTTCTTAAGTATTCTAGGATGCATTTCATCAGGCCCTGGTTACTTTTAGGCATCTAACTTTTCTAGGTGATTTTAACTTGTTCTTTTTTTATTTTATCTTCTAAACCTCCCCCATTCCCATTAGCATTCATTATGTTAGTTTCCTTTTATTGTTTCTCCCTCCTCCCTGACCAGTGGGCCTACCCTGTCCTTGGTCTTCCTCTTGCTTCTAATGTATTTATAAAAAGTCGTCATCTTTCCCTTTATTCCTGTAGCTAGTTTGAGCTCATTTTGT